CAATAGAAACAGAAACTGTACTTCAAAGTTTTAAATATAGTCTTTTCAATGAATTACATTAGATATTCAGTACGTTATGATAAAACATGTTTGTCAGATGATTTTTGCCTGATTATAAGCTCAGGTAATGTTCTGATGGTGTTTGAGGTGGGCTGGGCTAAGTTGTGGGCGGCAGGTCAGCTGTACTACATGCATTTTTGACTTGACGATACTTTCTGTTTATGAGAGCTTTCGCGGGAGGTGACCCTGTCCCACGTGGAGGAGGGAGGAGGGTCTGTGTAGGAACCCACACACAAGGAGCAGCCCCACCACTTGGGCGAAGAGCACACTCGAGAGAAAGGCTCGGTTACTCACCACCTGCTGCTGTGTGCTTGGTTACCTCAAAGCTTAGTGACTTTATAAGCGTCCTCGGGTTAGGGATGTGGCAGCAGGTTAGCTGGGTGATTCTGGCTTAGGGTCTTAGAAGGGACAGTCAAGCTCTCAGTCGGGCTGCAGCCATGATGGGGCTCTACAGGGCATGGGAGCTTGCTCCCAGGCTCACTCACGGGGTTGTGCACGAGCACTCAGATGTAAGGTGCAGTTGAGTACCATTGATCTCAGCAGTGACACGGGTCACCAGTGCTGTTTAAGACAGTAAGTGCAGCCACTCTCCAGTGGAGGAATTACATGTGAGCATAAATACTACGAGGTGCAGAGCCTGCAGCCAGACCTGAGACCTTGATCTTGTCAACAAGGGCATGCCGTGGCTCAGTGGCTGGCAAAGAAGTTACTTTGACATGGCACCCATGGGACTTGCTGGAATGTAGCCCGAAGAACTGTGCGAGGAATGTTATAGTGAGACCAGGTAAAGAATATCATGGGGCATCAGGGAAGAAAGATTTGCTCTGCCCATTGGCATTAGGGAAGACTTTTCAGATTTAGATGATATTTATGGCAGGGTATTCAAAAAGTTCACAGAAAATGCATATTATGAAAAAACTGCAGTAATTACAGATTTTTTGCACCAGTATAAGCAGACTAGCTTGTTATAACGTGGCTGAACAGGATCTAGGTTGAGGCACTAAAGAGCCCCTATCTGAGCACTGGGAATTCTACCAAAATTGAAGAACAGACATCAAATTTATGGTGAAGGTTGGGTGGAAAAGGGATGAAGTCGTGGATGTTTCACAAAACATTTACGAGTGCAATGTCCCAAAGTAATCCGCAGGTTACAAATGGATGACTCTTCGGTGAGATAGTGTTGAAGATGATGCCACAGTGACAGGCTATCTGTGTCAGTTTTCGAAGGAAAAAAGTGACTCTTTTTTGCATCCTCGTTGAAGAGGAGCAACAGTACACAGCAGAAAAATAGCCAGTAGCCTGGGTATTGCATTGGTGGTTCAACCTAAACATTTCTGGGGAACAATCAAAGCTATGTAACCTTTTGCTCAATGGGTGCCAGAAGTGTTGCCCCCCAGATCCACTGCAGGTAAGAACTGTGTTTTCAAGGGAAAGTTTTAAGAAGTAGAATCAAGATCCTGAGGTATTTCTTGGAAGAACTTGACCAGGGATCCTGAAGACAAAAATGCAGTCAAACAAAGGGTGCCAAGACTGGGAGAGTCCAGTCAAAGCACAGTGGACTGGACAAGAGCAGAGCTCAAAGCAGCAGTGTTCTGGGATGCTCCAGGCATTGTGCTTATTGACTTTCTGGAGGGCGGAGGGACAATAACATCCGCTGATTATGAGAGTGTCTTGAGAAAGTTAGCTGAAGCGTTAGCAGGAAAACTCAGTGTACTGCTGGAGGGACATAGTAGATGCTTAGTAAATGTTGGTTGAATGAATGTATGCATCAAAATGCAAAAGAAAATTTACTGTTTTATTATAAGTATTTTCATATAGTGCATTTTTATTAATTTTTAAAAATCCTGTATTCTGTGTCTAGAATGTTATAAATACATTGCCAACATCTTGATGTCCTGCATGATCTTCTACACTTACATAAGAAAGGACAGTGTAAATACACTTCGTGGTAGTCCAGGGTAATTACGTTCTGTAGAGGCACCTAGGGAACTGCTAGTGCCAAGTAGGTTTTGATCATTTTACTTGAATATTGATTATAACAGACATTCTTTTTTTAAGGAAGTGCTTCTGTTTTTCATAGATTTTAGTTAATACCATGCTATAGTTGTTTAATCAAAATGAAACCTAACTTTTCACTGAGAACCATTCATAATAAAGTCTAATTTAACCACTCACTCCCATTATCTCCATGCAGTCACCAGAGGAAGACAGAGAGAGGCACAGAAGAAAGCACTCCCCGAGGGGTCATTCTTTCTCAGTTCTGTCAGAATTTGCAGCAGTTGTGCCCAGTGTGGTTTCCAAGCTTCGAACTGTGGTTGTTCATGTGGGATCTTGCTCCCAGAACCATTAGAACTGTGGGACTGACCCCAGTTCTAAAACATATTCAAATAATCAAAAGAAAAAAAAAGTGAGAGGCAAGAAGGGAATAACAGAGAAACTGGTAGAGAATACAAGTAAATGGTAGTTCCACCTCCAACTGTATCAGTAATTTACCTTAAAAGTCAGTGAGCTAAAGACTCCAAACAAGACTAGCAGAATGAATGAACAAGCAAATAAAACATTCAAGAAGACCCACCTATGTGCTGTGCAAGAGGTACTCTAAATACAGGCCGAGAGGCTGGAGATAAACGGATGCTGAGTGAGCGTGAGCATCAGAAAGGTGAAGTGACTATACTGACGTCACATAAAGTAGACTATGACAAAAACATAAAGAGGGCATTGGTTATTAATATTATTATCTTTAAAAGTTTATTTCTTCCGTGAGAAAGAGTAGCCCCAGCAGGATCCCCATGCCATAATCCACGTTCATTCTCAGTTGACACGGGTCATGGCACACGTGTGCATGTGGTGGGCTCTGGGAGGCCTTGGGACACAGATGAGGACCTCTTCATTGTGGTCCATTTTATCACTTCTATCACTGCCTGGCCCAGTATATTTATTTTAACTTTGTCCTAAATGTACATAGAGAGTTGGGGATCAGAGGTTTCTTACTGTTACTTACCTGAAAGCAAATAACCGGTGGGTGTTTCCCTGGATCTCAGTTCTTACCTGCGTGGTGACAGGGTCCGATGTGCTACTTACACAAAATCTGTGTGATAGGAGTGAGGAAAAGTAGGTGTTCTGCCCTTCTATGAAGGGGGAGAGGCAGTTGTGTCCCCTCCTTCCGAGTCTCTTTGGAAACATCTCACACTCACCCTCTGCGATGTATGGAAACTGTCTGGTGACGATAAGCCCATGGCCTTCGGTGTTCCGTGTCAGCAACGTCTCCCAGTTCTAGGGCCTCGTCCCCATGTGAAGTATGAACACCTACCTCCAGGGTTCAGTCAGTCTCTCTGGAGTCCCGGCTATGGGTACAGTTGTAAATTAATTCCTAAGGTTGACTTAAGTCAAGAAGTCCAAATTTTAGTAAAATTGGCCCTGAAAGCCCTAATTGTGCAGAAACATGAAAGCAGTTTTCTCTACAATTCCACAGAGGGACATTTTATTAGGAAAATGAGTCAATTTGTCAGGAAACCATAACATACTGGCTATGCCTAATAACAGAACTTCAAATACAGGAAAGCAAACAGAAGACAGAATTAAAAGGAAAAATAAACAATTGTGCAATAATCATGATTAGAGATTTTAATAACCACTAATAATTGATATAGCAACTAGATTTTAAAAAATAAGCAAAGGCTTAAGAATACTACCAAATACATACTTAAGTATATTACATATTTCTTTTTGGAAGAACTGCTAGCAATGAATGAGAATACCTGATTCCTTTGCTTTTAGCAGCCTTGGGACTTAATTTTTTTAAAAACATTCTTTGTTGGGAACCAGCAGTTAGCGTAATGGCTATGTCGCTGGACTCCCACGTAGTCGACCGCGGTTCATGTCCCGGACCCGGTGGCTTAAAACTCACGCTGGGCGCGTGTGCGTGCGTGCCCAAGATCCCGAGAGGAGAATTGAGGAGAAGGGATTGCGGCGTGACCATCCCCCCTGGGGGGTGATTTCTCGCTTTCTGTCTCTCTGTCTCTCTGTCTGTCTGGCGAGCGCACGCGCCCTACAGTGAAAATCTCTCCAAAAAAAAAAAATTATTTGTTAATTTGGTAGGGAAGCCATGGTACTTATTTTGATTTGCAATAAGTTATTGAAAAAATTGCATATACTTATCATTTGGTTTATGCCATAATCCCTTCTCCTCCATTCTCCTCTTGGGGTCCCAGGCATGCACACATACACACCCACAGCAGGAGTTTTAAGCCAGTGGGTCCAGGATTCGAACCACAGTTGATCATGTAGGAGTCCAACGAGGTAGCCATTATACCATCTGCTGATCCCTTGTCATTAACTCTTAAACTATCATATATTGTTTACCCTATAGAAGTTAAAAGGTTGTCTACTCAACTCAATCTTTTATTTCTTTTCTGCTTTTTAAGGGGATGGTTTCTACAATTTATTGGTTCTGATCCTATTTAGAAGCTATAGTTTGTATGTGGCATTATCTCATTAAAAACTAACCTTGTAAAAGCCAAGTTTGATGTCAACTAAGAAAGCTTTTTTTTTTTTTTTTTTTGGAGAGGTTTTTGCTATAGGGCGCGTGCGCTCGCCAGACAGAGACAGAGAGACAGAAAGTGAGAAATCCCCCCCCGGGCGGATGGCCATGCCACAATCCCTTCTCCTTCATTCTCCTCTTGGGATCTTGGGCACGCATGCACACGCGCCCGGTGTGAGTTTAAGCCACCGTGTCCGGGACGCGAACCACGATCGACTACATGGGAGTCCAGTGACACAGCCATTATGCCAACTGCTGGTCCCTCAACTAAGAAAGCTTTGAGATGGGATGGTCAATATAACGTTTGTCCATTACATTCGTACAGCTTAGACTATTGAAATATTTATTACAATGTTGTCCTCTTGTGCAATGTAAAGTTATCTCTTCATTTGGTTCTCAGATCATTCATAATTTCGCAAGACGAATTCAGGCCAAAATCAAAGATCTTCTACAGCAAATGGAAGAAGGACTGAAAACAGCTGACCCCCATGATTGCTCTGCTTATACTGGTTGGACAGGTGAGAATATCAGGTGTATATGTTTTGTCCTTGGATTATGAGAAATAAGATTTGTTTCTAGGTTTTCTTTTCTTTTAATATGGTACAGATTTGTACCTTTATGTGAAGTCTTTTTCAAAATTTTTATTTAATTTTAAAAATTATTATTATTATTTTAATTTGCTATAGGACACATGTGCTCACTAGAGAGACCGATGGGTGGGGGGTCGGGGAGGGAGGAAGAGAGAGAGAGAATGCCACCAAGTCCGGGACTCAAACTGTAGTTGGCCATGTGGGAGTCCAGCACCTTAACCACCATGCCACCTGCTGGCCCCTCATATATGGAGTCTTAAACTATATCTTCAGTGATCAGATGCTTTGGAATTTTATTTCTAAAGAAATGCTTTCTGCCTGAAGTTAAGATTTTAGCATGTGTAATTTTATATTTTTGTAACATTATTTAACCTAATACTTAGCGGTCTATGAAAATGGATAAGCAGAGTAAACCAACCCTAAGGGCAAGTTTTAAAAATATTTTATTGTTGCTTTGCAACAAGTTGTTGAATGTTTTCTTGGGCCCATTATATCAACTCTTCCTTGCTAATACTTATTTGACTTATATTTGACTTATTTGTACATAACATGGCCAATGTTTTCATTTTGATGAAAAATGTTAAGCAAGCAACCAGTAATCTAGTTCACTTCAAAAAGCATAATTTCAAAATTAACTTGATATTTTACCAGGTACGAGAACATTGTAATAGTCATTTTATGAAGGAAATAAAAGAGTTTATTCTTGGGTATTGTAAGTCTGATTACATTGCTAATGACTCTCTCTCTCTCTCTCTCTTCCTCTCTCTTCTCTATATATATATATATATACACACACACACACACACACACATATATGTGTCTCTATATACATACATATATATATATATATATTTAGAGTTATTTCTTGCTAAATGTGTATAATTTAATTAGTAAACAGCATAGACAAAAGCATACATGTTAGAACCACCATGAACTCCTCCCACGGTTTTGCACTGTACTACCAAATTTGTGGCTCTTATAATTTTGTGTTTATGCTTAGATTCATTTTAGTGATGTTTCATTTATCTATTATTTGCCTGCTATGCTGTTATGAATACAACGTTTACATAGTGACATTAGCATTAAATATTTTAGGGCCACTATGTGGCATGGAGGTTAAGGTGCTGGATCCTACATGGCCAACTGCATTCAGGTTCTGGACCCAGTGGCTTGAAAATCACACTGGGCACGTGTGCGTGCCCAAAATGCCAGGAGGAGAGAGGGGAAGAAGGGATCAGACATGGCCATTTCCCCAGGGGTTAGTTTCTCATTTTCTATCACTGTCTGTGAATATATGCACTCTATAGCAAAAAAAAACTAAAAATAGTAGTAATAAAGATAATACTTAGAGCTCTGTGGTTCAGGTGGAAGTATGAAATTCACTGAGACCCACACCTTTCTAGTCTGTTCTGAAACCATTCAGTGTGAGGGTGAATGAAGCCCCCAGAGCACATCCCGTTAGCAAGACTAAGAGATTGAGAAAACACAGATAATGTTGGGTGAAAACCAGAGTGTCCAGAATTAGTGTGAAAAGCCTCAAGGCGGCAATAGCCCAGGAAAGCCAAAGGGTCCGGGAGTGGCAGAGTTTATCCGGCCCTGATTGCCCACACTCCCCCTCCTCACAACCAGCAAACATTTATTACTGGAAGGAATGGCGGGCCTGAGTGCAGTGGGTGAGTAATGCTGGAAGAGACAGAGGAAAAAGGCAGGGAACGTGTGCTGAGAGCAGAGGTCACAGGCCTTAAGAAATTGCACTCCTCCCGAGGACCACAGGTGGTGTAGTGGTTAAGGCAGGTTAAGGCACTGGACTCCCATGAGGTCGATCCCTGTTCAAGTCCCAGACTCAGCAGCTTGAAGCTCAGGCCAGGTGCACGTGCGTGTGTGCCCAGAATGAATCCCAAGTGAAGAATGGAAGAGAAGGGGGGACCAGCAGTTAGCATAATGGCTATGTCGCTGGACTCCCACATAGTCGACCGCGGTTCGCATCTCAGACCTGGTGGCTTAAAACTCATACCGGGTGCATGTGCATGTGTGCCCAAGATCCCGGGAGGAGAATGGAGGAGAAGGGATTGCGGCGTGGCCATACCCCCTGGGGGGTGATTTCTCGCTTTCTGTCTCTATGTCTCTCTCTGTCTGTCTGGCGAGCGCACACGCCCTATAGTGAAAACCTCTCCAAAAAAGAATGGAAGAGAAGGGATTGCTGGTGTGGCCATGCCCCTGGGGGTGATTTCTCACTTTCTGTCTGTTTAGGTGGTAAGTGTAGGCATCCTATAGCAATAATCTCTCTCTCAAAATAATAATGAAATAATGGAAGAAAGAAAGAAAAGGCATGACCACACGTGGCATGGAGGCTAACGCGGCTTGGTCCCCCATGAATGACTTTGAAGTCTGAATCCTGGACTTAGTGACTTGAAAATCATGCTGAGCATGTGTGCGGGCCTGCCTAAAATCCCGAAAATGGAGGAGAAGGGATTGAGATGTGGCCATACGCCCCAGGGAGTGATTTCTCACTTTCTCTCTTCTGTGTCTCAGTGAGTAAACACACCATATCACAAAAAATAAAAACTAAAAAAAATTTAAAAAAAGAAGAAAACACTACCGAAGGAGAGGAGATGAATTTGCAAGGCAGAGACTGCAGCCTTGGTGGCACTGGCTACTGGTATAAGAAGGAAGGGGACAACAGTGACAGGCTCTGCTGACACAGCATGAAACCCAAAGGACACCTGGCCACCGAGAATCGCCGTGTCAGAGCACAGGAGAAGCCCTTGAGATGTGAGCCCACAAAGCTGTCCCAAAGCTTTTCCCTTTCTAGGGAATCTTCCTGTTAATACTTGATCCAGAAAAACGTAATATATTCAAATTTAAGAGAAAAACTTACTATTATATCCCTAATACAAGCAGAAAGGAAAACCAAGATTTCTCAGTGGAAGGCAGGAAGATGTCACTATGGCTTGGACAAACATTGGCAGTGTTTTCAGCATTAATGTTGAAACCCAGCAGTGAGTTTACAAAGCAGAAATAGAAAGAGCACGTGAAGCAAGAATTGACAGAACTAAGAAAAGAAATGGAAGGAAAAGACAGCCGACACCCCAGAAAGCACAGCGGTACCGTAGAAAGCACAGGAGCCTCATTGTCTACGAGAGTCTCAGTAAATGTTTGTTGAATAAATAAATGACTAAATCAACCCACTGAGGGAAAAAGGCAAGGAAAGAGCAACAAAAATACGTTGAAAAGAGACCTCTGGTTTCTAGCCAGAGGTGAGAAGCTTAGAAGTCCCCGCTGCTCTAACAAGTGAGAGCGGAGCAGAACAAGCAGTGGCTCTTAGCGTGGCAGAGACAGGAGGGTCACAGGGCGAACTGCTGCAGGGAGGCAGATAGCCCATGCCGAGTCGGAGCCCGCAGGAGTGAGCCTCAGCAGCACCCAGGGCGAGGGGGACCTAAACTGGAACCCATGAGTTTCTGGAGCTTTACTCCAGGCCTCTACCAGGTCCTCAGAGTGTCCGAGAAAAATCCCTTGGCTTCTTGCAGGGGGAAGGGGGAAAGGACCACTCTGAACCCGACAGAGCTCCCTGTTCTTAGTAAGGCCAGCTCTCCGGAGAAACTGCTTAGAGAGCCTAACCTGCTGGGGCTTATCTCAGCCTGACCTCCCTGTGGGAGGGGAAGGTCCGCAGCCTTCAACCTCGGACAGGGAAGAGACCCCAGTCCCCTTTAGCCATTGCAGCCCAAGGCACTGGGAAGTCTAGTACAGGGCACAGGCTCCTGAGAATATAAACCAGTCCCCTCCCACCTCCCCTCCCACACTTAGACCACAATTTCCTTCTACCTCGTATAACATGTCTGTCATCAAAAACTTAGAAATCTGGGGACCAGCAGTTAGCGTAATGGCTATGTCTCTGGACTCCCACATAGTCGATCGCGGTTCAAGTCCCGGACCCGGTGGCTTAAACTCACACCAGACACGTGTGCGTGCGTGCCCAAGATCCCAAGAGGAGAATTGAGAAGGGATTGCGGCGTGGCCATCCCCCCTGGGGGGTGATTTCTCGCTTTCTGTCTCTCTGTCT